TGCAATGCTACTTTCCTTATCAAAGACAACTCATTAACTTGAGTTTTACTTAGTTGAGTAACATGAGGCTAAAATCAAGCTAATGTACCTTTTTGTGGTCTAGAAGAGTAGTGAGATCCAGCCTGACAGACTTGAGATATAGTGGCAAAGCCCTATAGGGGTACGTGCACCTTACCATTGCATTACGTGCACATGGTAATACTCTCTATCTCGTAATAATTGCCCTGCAACCCATGCAATGCACATACTTGAAATAGTAAATATCTTTGCTTTACCACCCTTGACTTGGAAGACATTCCAGTTTTGCCTCTGGCAAAAGCCTTGCATAGTAAATCCCCAAGATTGCTGCACTGATGTTACCTGGTTTTCTTTCCAGAAATACATTTTGGAAACCCTATCATGTGGTTCCGTTATACTGGGCGGTTATCTGTGGGATTCCAATCTTCCATACAGTATGACCAAGAACAAGGCAATGTCTGCAGCGGTCTGGAGGGAGAGGTATCAAAGAGAAGGTAATGGAAAGCATCATTAAACCAAGAGTTCATTGAAGAAGTGCTGCTAAGTGTTATTACTCTCTCTTTCGTCTTTTCCATATCTTTCAGGGCCAGATGGGGAATCCTCACATATAAATCCCAAGCCTGACAGGTCTGGAAATAACCTTCAAGGCCCCATAAAATATTAAAAGATGTTTGTGCATCTGTTACTGGCTCGTGCTGCTATGTATGCCAGCCACAATATCACAATTTGTCACTCACACACCAATGGCAGCTTTCCGTTACTGCGTATCCTGTGTTTTTCTTGTGTTATTCAGTTTTTAATAAAGCAACTCTGTTCTTGGGGCACAAGATAGGCCACAAATTTCCAAAATTGAGGCCACAGGCGGGAAACTACTGCACTGAGCTTTGCTACTGTTGTTCATAACAGCACATTTTCAGTATAATTATTTCATTTAGCATCATCAACACTGTTTATGTAAAATTGTGATGACAAGCAGGGAATTATCCTGCTAACCCACATGTAATTTATTTTAAAGGACTGATCTCGTTTTGCTGAAGTATATTCATCCCCCGTTGCCATATTTTAGTTCATGTAATGCAATGCAATGAATTGAAACGATGACGAATGTACCATCGGCTGCATCTTCACATGTACACTCTGGCTAGTTGTTGATTTACACTGAAACATGAAGAAAAGTTCAGCACCAACAAAGTTATGTTTGGCAATGCTGGAAGACACCTGTCGATGCGGTTCTTGGAACAACACCAAAGCAGTAACTGCAAGAAAAAATGGTTATAACAGCTAGAAATAAGTGTCAGCTGGAAGCTGCGGGTTATAGGGGGGAAAAGATTGTTGCGGAGCCATCTAAGAAACGTAGCCGGGACAAAATGACTCCTCGGTTTTAAGATGAAGTTTAACAAGGAGGGTAATGGCACTTTGTAGGCAGGATTCACATGCAGCTCTGCTTGCTTCAACCAAAAGTCACATTAGCTACAGAAAGGGGCTTGCAAGGAATTATGATGTTTGGAAGAGGCTTTCAAGTTCATTGAGTTCAACCGTAGCCCTTTAGCGACTCATTTCAGGACTTCCCCACTCGGGAAGTGGTGCGGGCTGTTTCAGATAGACTTCTTCATGGGTCTTTACACCCTGCTCTTTTTAGTAGCTTCCTTATCTTTATATCTTTACATTTTTTGATTCTTCAATAACACATTATACATGTTTAATCTTTTCCTTGGCTGCAAGAGGGGTTATTTTGGGTATATTACACTGATTATTACACAACAGGCCCTACATATACATATATATGTGTGTATATATATATATATATACACACACACACGTATATATACATACACAGGTATATACCAGATTTCTAGGTCCATCCGGACGCACATTTCCAGGCAGGGGAGCCCTCATGACAGAGGCAGATGCCCGTGAGG